GGCGGCAGCGTCGCGACGACAACGACGCAGTTTCGTTGTTCTCGACACGAGCGTCGTCCTCGTCGGGGGTGGAAGAGCACATAGTCTCTTCGGAGACGTCGGCGCCCTGTGTCAACAGCGGTGACGATGGGTACGTGAACGTGGCGTTGTTCACGTTCAGAACTCTCATCTCCACGCCGCTGTTTCCTTCGATAACGTTAAATACAACGAATTAAAATTAATTTCGCGTGTACGAACAGTTTTCTTTATTTCTAAATATACAACGTGTTCGGTTCGCGCGGGAACGTTGAAATAGATGGAAAAATGCGAACGGCACGAAAAATTGTCGCAGACAAGAATCGTGCGATATCGAGTCGTCAGATGTCGAGGACACGTTACGTTTTCCTTTATTTGTCCCTGCAAACAACTTGAAACGTGCGCACTGCGAACGTTGCAGTCAAATCTTCGAATGGAAACCTGTATTTTTTATGACATGCAAATCACGTCCTGCGAGAATGTTTTTCGGTATGTTCGCGTATGATGGAATGTATGACGTTATATAGGCTGTGAAAAGTATATTCTACTTTCTCGCGTATACATTCGGAAATAAACGAGAACGTCGAGTGGACTGTCATTTTTTACTACGTTTGGAATAAAACTATGGAATAACGCCGACGCGGTATGAGTATAGCGATGACGTCCGTAAAGAGGATGCTAGCGAGAAATGAAATTTACATTCACGCTATTGCATCTCATGTGGTAGGAAGAGATCGCCTGGTTGAAATTTCTTAGAAATTACGAACCTTCGTGACGCTCTCTTTCGTTACCTTGTCAGACGCGTGTTCCTCGTAATTATTGAAAGTAAAATAAGATGGTTAAGGTCAGACACACGAAGACCGCTCGTTAAGTAGTTTCAACGTCCGTGGACGTTGCAACGCAGACCGAAGTTACCGCGATATGTGATAAACCAGGGATTAACAGTATCCGTTTTCTCTGCGGCATTGGTTAAACGTAACCTGTCCTCGATTTTTCATCGTTTAGCATATCGACTGTGTGCGTGTCAGATTTCGCACTTTCCCCGCGTGTCATTAAATCGAGTTACAGAGAACTACACAGAACCATGTAGATTAAATCACGCCGTAACTCGAAAGTTCAGTGGGAAAAAGAGAAACGAGGCGCGTGAGAAGAATTAGAAAGAAGAAACGGAGAAAAAAGTCTGTTACGGTTGACAGCATTCATTTTGGTGCGTCTATGAAATATCCACGTTGATCTTACAGATTTGACAGAGTTTTTCTTCCAAAGGTAATTAAAGACACGCGCAAACAAATCGAATCAAATGGATAAATCAAAGAAAATTGATAATTTTAATTCACGAAACATGGTCGTGCGTTTCAAGAAAATTACTATTTATTTACCGGTTGTTGGTCGCTTACCAACGATATCGTTCGTCTGCAGCTTGTAATTAATAGGCAAACGGATGGTGACGTCGGTTTTCGGTTTCCCTAGAGCAGCTGGTATCTTCCGCAATGCGTGCAATTCCGTCACGCACAGACTCTCTGGATTTTCACACTTTGCCGCGGGGTTCGTCGTCATCGCCACTCCAACTTCCTCGACTTCCGACTGTTCAATAGCTTCCGCCACGGGCAACGGATC